AAAGACCCCTCAAAGATCTCCAATTTAAATTTTCTCTCCCTGACTGGGTGCAACCAGCCCTGGAGGAGAGATTAGTCACTGATCCAGGAAACACTGGAGCTGTATTTTCACACAGGCACTCCCAGGACAGACTGACATCCACCCCTGCAGGCTCAGGAGTGCCCAGAGACTGACCCTGAATGCACTGATGTCGATGCTCCTGTCCATGTATTTCTTCTTCTCGTATTTATCCCGGATGAAACTCTCCACAGCTCTTCAGCAGCTCGTTAAGGACAAAGGAGTCCAAAATAGAAGCCTTACGTGGTATTATTTGACAAGTAGGTACAAGGTACAGGCTGTAACTAAACTAATGACTGTTTAAAGAGCATTTCCAGCAGTAACTTTCTTAAAATAATTTAGTGCTGGATCCAAACCCCCCCTTTAGCTGCTCGATTTTTTGCCCTTGGGTTATTCCAAGCATGACAGTGCTATAAAAGGTGCATTAAATCAGGGCTTAGATTCTCAGAGTGTTTTCTTCACTGTTTTAGACTCACTCCTTGTCATCAGCACAGATTACAGTGGCCAGCACTGGATCCTGCACATAAAGAAGGACCTCAGGCACCAGCTTAAGACACAAAAAATGAGGGTGGAGAGGTGCTCCTATGGGGTTTTTTTGGGTTCATGTCACTCTACCCCTGTTCACTCAGCAACCAGAAACCCTCCTGGAAGGTAAAAGCTACAGCTCTTAAGTTTTCAGAAGCATTAAACCTTTTTATCATGGAATGGTTTGGGTTGGAAGGGACCTTAAGGATCACCTAATTCCAAGCCCCTGCCACGGGCAGGGACATCTTCCACTAGCCCAGGTTGCTCCAAACTGGCCTTGGACACTTCCAGGGATGGGGCAGCCACAGCTTCTCTGGGAAATTCATTCCTCACAGGGAAGAACTTCTCCCTAATACCCCATCCAACCCTGCCCCCTGGAAACAGTCCCTCCCCACCTTTCCTGCAGCTCCCTCAGGCGCTGAAGGCCACAATGAGGTCTCCAGTGAGCTTTGGGAACACTCAGCCCTTTGGAAAGCCCCACCCTTCCCACTTCCCACAGCTCCCAGGTGTGGAACAGCTCCCTGGGGTGACACTGGTGTCCCAGTTCTCCTCCCCCAGAGCTCAGCACCAATCCTCAATCCTTCCCCCCTCTCCTCAGGCTCAGGGGGGAGCTCAGGGGAGTTAAAACTGCTCAGCTCCTGCCAGGGGTGCAGCTCCAAAGCTCTGGCTCCCTGTTTTCCCCTGGAGAAAGGATGCTGGTCTGTCTGAGGTCTCCTGAAGTTCTCGGGCAGGAAGGCTTCGTAGAGCCGGTTTGCTTTGCCATTTCCCATCTCCTGCACACACTGGAAAAAAAAATCCAGAGAGCCCCTGAACTGGTGCATTCCCAGACATCAAAGCTCTCCCAAGTCCAGCCCTGAGGATTCCAGGCAGGGGTGGATTTCTGAGCCCTGTCTGGATCCAAAATCACTCTTCACCTGCCAGGGGAATCCTGGTGCAGCTGCTACCCCCAATCCCTCCAGCATTCCCACTTTTCCTCCCGGATCCAGATCCTCCTCCTCCTCCAGTCCCTTTTCCCCCAATCCCTCCAGCATTCCCACTTTTTTTCCTGGACCCAGATTCTCCTCCTCCTCCAGTCCTTTTTTCCCCCCAATCCCTCCAGAATTCCCATTTTTTCTCCTGGACCCAGATTCTCCTCCTCCTCCAGTCCTTTTTCCCCCAACCCCTCCAGCATTCCCACTTTTCCTCACCCAGTGCCTCCTGTACAATTACCCACTCCTAAGCACCACGGCCCAATATTTAGTCAGAGACAAGATAAATATCACATTAGCAGCCCCAAGTCCCTCTGGAAATCCAGGATTTGGCCTCAGGGAGAGGAGGAGGGGGCAGCAGCTCCAGGCAGCAGCAGCCCTTGGCAGTTTAACAGCACTTGCAGCTCATTTGTCTTTACCCTCTGAAATAATGACATTTTCCCATCCTAACATCATCTTCCCACTGCTCTTCCCACATCTTTGGGCTGCTCAGGCTCTGGCTACTCCCAAATTTATGGAGCCCCTCCTAAACCCCTTCCCCACCCCCCTGTATTCATTCCACCCCCATTACCTGGATCTGCTCCTGTGTCCACTGGTCGAGGTTGACAGATTTGACCCTGGATATGTGAACTCCCAGGTTCCTGTGGATCCCAGCACAGCGGATGCAGATGAACACCCCGATATTCCAGGAGGCCCATCGTGGCCCTGCAAAGAGACACGAGGGTTTCACCCCAATTCCACCCCCGTGGTTGCCTCGAGCAGCTCAGAAACTACCAAGTGAACTGGGACTGAGGTGTCTGCGTTCTCCTCCACGTCAGAAATCGGAATTAGGCAGCAGCAGGATGTTTAAATCCTTATATTTGGAGGTTTTCTTGCCTCCCTCTTCCATCCACGCCAAACAAATAGCTCTTAGAGAGGAAGAGGGAAGAAAACACCCACAACCCCCAGAGCTCTGCTTAGCCAGAAGTAACAGCCATGGCAATGCAAGTTTGTGCTCCTGCTTTTTTTCCTTCTCTCTCAGGTAACCTCCCTGCAGTGCAATCAGCTCCAGAACGCTCTCTTGCTGCTGCAGGAATGGCAGCAAAAAATTCCTCAGCGTGGGAATTGCACCACCAGCCTCAGGCAGGAAGGCCCAGCCGAGCCAGGAGAGCAGCACCAAGCCCAGGATTTGGCCCCCCCAAAAAAAAACGTGGAGCCCCAGGTTGCAATCCCAGCACACGAGACACTTGGTCAGTTCACTCCACAGTTTCCACAGCTCCCAGGTGGGAATTCCAAGTTCCACCCTGATCCCATGGTTGGCATGCAGCTGGGGCAGGCAGGAGAGCTCCAGGGTGTGTGTGTGGGGGGACATCATGCCAGGGATAAAAAAAAACAAACCACCACAAGGGAAAGATGATTAACAAGCTTAGATTTGTAACCCCCCTGCACCCAGGAAACCCAGCAGGGCATCACCCAGGGCTGGGCAGAGTCCACAGGTCCTCCCAGCCCTCAGTCCTGCTTTAAAGTTCATTTTTTAAAAAAAACCCTAACCCCCCTGGCTGGAGTTTGCAGCCAGCCCCAGTTGGGGTGTCCAGCCCTCACCACCTTTCACAGGGAAGGGGCCAAAGCCTGAATGAGGGACCTGAAAGCCTCCAACCAACTCTGCCAGCCCCTTTTTCCAGGCATTGCTGCAGAGGAAGAGTTATCCTGCTAAAATAGCAAAGCCTAAAGCTAATGAGAGTGAGGTGGGAGGGGGAAGAGGGGGGGGTAAGTGTAATTTCAAAGCCCTAAAAAAGCAGGGCTGTGTTTGAGGCTCTGGATATGCTGTGAACAGTTTAATTCCTATTTATGGGGAAAGTCTGGAGCATCCTGAGGGCTTTGGGGCTGTTAATGCAAACCCTTCCAGGACAACCTCTAACTTACCTCCAGTACCTGTTCCAGGGAACTCATGATTTAAAAAAAAAAAAGCTTTTATTAAGTCTTCTGGCCTTTCCTGCCATCACTGGCTGCTTTTTCCCTCAAGAGTGGCCCTTGAGAACGATATTAATTTAACAGAGCTGATGAATTCAGATCCCAGTTTAGGAACAGCTCCTGGTGAAGACCTGATTAAAAGCACACCCTTGTTCATTTATTATACCCACCAGAACCTGGGATTGACTCCATCACAGCAGAATCCATAAATTTAGCATGTTAAACAGTAAGGACCTGGAATAAAAGCCTCGCTCAGGGTCAGCCAGGATCCCTCCCTGGGTTCCCACAGGGAATTCTCTCCCAGCCACACCATAACGTGAGGCTGCAGGCAGGATTAAGCCTGAGAGTCAAGGTTAGATTTAAACTCTGGATATATTTAGCCTTTATAGGACTAAAAGGATTAATAGGCAGATACTCCAGCGGGGCTGGAGTAATCAGCTCACTGTTGTCACATGGAGCCACCACAACCTGCCACCACCAACATGACTCAGGGGTGCAAGTGGCACTTCAGTGGCACTTCAGGGGCTGGAACAGCAAGGACTGAGTGCAGGACTAACAGCTGCACTGCTAAATCCCAGCTCTGGGTGACCCCCAGGGTGGAGAAGCCTCAGTTATGCCAGGGAATATTTAAAAAAAAAAAAATAAAAAAATTAATACACGGGCTTTCAAAAATCCTCCCAGCAGGTGGTTGGGCTGTATAAATACATTATTGGGTTGTATAAATACATTATACAACAGAGGGGGGAGCTCCTCGCTGCTGATATTCTGGGTGTCCTTGCTGAGCCAGGAGGTGCTACAAGAAAGGCTTCAAATCTGTGGATCTGCCACTAAAATAATCCCCCTGGCTCAGACTGGGCTGGGCAGGGCTTTGGGGGTATTTCCCCACGGTTCCACATCTGGTTTCAAGGTGACAGACCCGAAAAAAAAAAAACCCAGGTGGCATTTGCAGATGGGAGTTCCATCACATGCTGCAGCATTTGACTCCCCAAAAAACGAAACTGTGCAGAAAATCCAGTGACTGAGGGGGGGGAAACACCCTGGTTGGAGCAAAGGGGAAAGTTTTTCAGAGAAAAATGGGTTTTTATCAGTAAATAAGGACAGAACAGCGTTAATCAGCATTGCTGGAGTTGCCCTGGGGCACTATCACCCCTTGCAGCCTCTGGGCACACCCTGACACTCACAGGGAATCATGGATTTATCTCCAGGAGGTTTGGGGACACAGTAACAGAAACTTTCAGCTCGTTAAACCATTAGAAAGAACCATTAAAGAAGTTGTTCCTCCCGTGAATACTCTGGTTGATGTTATAAAAACAGTCCCCTCGAGGCTGAGCATCCTCAGAGCCACCAGAGCTGGAGGGTGAGGTGGAAACTCCCTTCCCACATGGAAAATTGGGGGGTTGCCCCTATGACAACCAGTATCAGCCACTCCTGGGGCTGTGTTTCAGCATCAGGGCTGATTTTAACACCCGTGGAAAAGGAAGGCTCTGGCACCAAGCCAGCTGGGCAAAGCCTGTCCTGCTGTGCTGTCCCTGTGCCTCAGCTCACACCTGCACAAATCCCTCCTGGATCCAACAAACCCACACTTCTGAGCAAGAATCCAAGGAGATTTCAGAGGCCAGCTATCCCCTCAGCCCTGGCACCACACTGAGGTCAGATCAGACCACCCTGGGCATGTTCCCAGCCTGGCAGTGGCTGCAGGAGGATCACCAGCTCCAAAAGCATCCCCTGCTCAGCCAGCCCTGATTTTACAAAGCTGCACTGAGCACTTGGGTGGATTCCTGAGGGAGGATGCACCAGCCAGAGGCTCAGCTGCCCAGCCAGTGCTCCAGGAGACACTTCCACAGCCTGTTTTACATCCCAGCCTGTCAAAATAAACACCACATACCAAGCTGGTCACACCAGCTCCCATCTGAGCCACAAGTCATCAATGCTGCAAGGGCTGCTGAGTGCTCTGAATTACTGAAAAGGCTCCCAATCCCCTCAAAAACCCCAGCACAGCCTGAGGAGTCCACTTCAAGTGAGTCACTCGCTCTGAGTTCACCCCCCTGAGTGGTTTTAACTGAGAAATCCCGAGGGGATTCACTCCTCTTTATTCAGGCCCCAGATTTTGGCTGAAGCTCCCCCTGCAACTTTCTGCAGCAATAACCCCTCCAGAAGGCATTTAAAAATAAAACAGAAGCTGGCTGCAAAAGCCACTGCTCTTTTGAGAAGGAGGGTCAGGAAAAAAATAGCTGCTTTCATGGGCAGGAAGGAGAGAACATCACTGTTCAGAGCCTGAGGAAATATTCCCAGTGCAAACAATCCCTGCCTGGGAGCATCCAGGGAAACATTCCCATGGATCCCACTAACATGGGTTGGGATACAGCATCATCCAGCCATCCCTGGAGCATCCCCAGGGAGAGGAAGGAGTGGGATAATCCCTGGGAGGTGACTGTTCCACCCTCCCTCACGCTGGGCCGTGGAGGTTCCTGATCCAGCCCAAGCTGGGAAGTCCCACTTTTTCCAGAGCCAAATGAGGAACCACCCAAGGATCCAGGAGCTTCCTTTGCCTCGTGGTTTCCTCGTTCTGGAAGGAGGTTGCTTAAGGACTTGGTGACACTGTGACAAAGCCTGTCTTGCAAAACAACTTCCTCTGCCCTTCTCTGGAAGGTCTGTTGTGCAGCTCAGTGTTCCAGAGCCTGGGGGAACAAGGGAAACCCTAAAAAAAACCCCCAAGAGCTCAAAATTCTGCTGTGGCACAGGATATTCTGGGGTGGAAGGGACCCTCGAGGCTCATCAAGGCCCAACTCTGACAGGGATGGCTCATCCAGGGATCAAACCCTTGGTGTTCACCAGCACCAGCCTCAGCTCAGGTGGGTTCAGTCATTAACACAGATTAATTGCAGGTTAATTACTCACCTCAGAAGGCTCAGATTTGTGAATAATCCCTGTTGCACCCCCAGCTTTAGTCCCAGCCTAAGGGATCTGTGCAGCTTTCAGGGACCCAGTGAAACAGGGGGTGCACAAGGCACCTTCTCATGGATTAAATGTTGGCAAAATTCTATTTTACACCATCAGAATTCAGCTCAGTGACAGTGTGACCTCCCATCCTGCTGCTCTGTTTATTTAGGCACAGGGGTGGTATTTACCCACCACCTGAATTTTTTGCATTTCATGGCAATTCAGGCCCCCTTGAAACCTGCAACTCGCAGGATTGGCTGGTGTGTGGTTTACTCAGCCAAAAATTCAACTTTATGGAGCTCTTTGAAGGAAAAAAGGGTTGTCTGGGGGGCTTTTCTTTGTCCTTTTTTTTTTTTGTCCTCCCTCAGTAATTATATGGGAATTATAGGAAAAAAAATATAGGAAAAATATATATAGGAAAAAATATACATAGGAAAAAATGTATATAGGAAAATCTATATAGGAAAATCTATATAGGAAAATCTATATAGGAAAATCTATATAGGAAAATCTATATAGGAAAATCTATATAGGAAAATCTATATAGAAAAAATATATATATAGGAAAAATATATATATATGGGAAAATATATATATATGGGAAAATATATATATATGGGAAAATATATATAGGAAAAATATTTATATAGGAAAAAATATATATATAGGAAAAAAATATAGGAAAAAATATATAGGAAAAAATATATAGGAAAAAAAAATAGGAAAAAATATATAGGAAAAAATATATAGGAAAAAATATACAGGAAAAATATACAGGAAAAATATACAGGAAAAATATACAGGAAAAATATACA